AGCAGGTGTCAAAAGAAATGAACTCTGGAAACATTTTCAGCTTCATAAAAACTGGCACTGTTTGCTACCTAATGCAAATGCAAGATTGAAGATGGTTCCTGCTTAGTTAATGAGACTGCCCTTAATTTAAGCCTTGGAAGCAAAAATCCCTGCCATGAATTTCCAAACATTCGGCACGAGAATTATTATTCTTTAGACACGAGACCAACCCGCCAAGATCTACAGTATCACATCAAACACCCTTCCATACATATCTGCATATCTATTTCCACTCCTAAGACACTAGAATCTATTTCACAGGAGCAGTAAGAGGGTACACAGCTCGCTGCATGCAGTCAGTGTGTGTGCACAGGCTCCCTTACCTGCTCCTTTTTCACTGGTGTGCTGTGGGCTGCCACAGCCGAGAACTGCTCGAGCGCGTTTTGATGCTCTTCACTCGGCTGCGGCGGCTGCTGCTGGTCCTGTGGCTGGGTCTCCGCTGCCCCTTGCTGTGCAGGGTTCTCCTCCTGATCCTGCTCTTTATCCTTGGACTCGGAGTCCGATCCCGATTCTGTAGTCATGGTTGGTTATTCTGCAAAACAAGGTGAGCAGACCTACTGAGTACAGTCTCATAGCCGTGAATGTGTAAGCTAGGCTTACAAATTGAAGAAAGATCGGGCACAACGTTTCAGTCTTAATAAGCTCAGCCTTTAAAATTAAAGTGGCTATCACGCTGGCCCAACCAGGATCCTGAGGAAAGCTTCCTTGGTGCAAAAGCCCAGGTCTGAATGCACTCATACTCTAAGGAACAGCATGTTGCCATAAAATCTCATTCCACATTGTAATACACAGACATTATAAGACTTATGTTCACGTAAATACGCAATACATAGTTCATTATTTATAAAGGGAGAATAACACATTGAGAAAAGCTTGGGTGATTGAGGACCCTAAATCCAACAAATCCACCGCAGTTTGGGTTTTTAAACCACACGGAAACTTTTGAAACATTAAATGTTTTGTTCTTTACATCGAAGTCAACAGGGCTTCAGCTCCTCAACATCTGTACTCCCTTTTGGACATGTACTCTAGTACTTTTGATGCTTACAAGCAACATATTAGTAGTTGGTCTCAGTGATCTGCTAGGTCTTTTTCAACCTAAATGACTCTATGATTCTGCATATGCTAGAAACATCTGAAGTGGGCCCACCACAAGTACAAACATACAATTGCCCTTAAACCCAGTTCCGTCCTTCTCACTTGAATTCATCTACACTTCTGTCATTTCTTTCTAAGTGCCAGAGCATCCAAAAGAAAATATAAATACTTCCATTAAGTCATTCTAAGTGTCAGACTTAAAATGAATACAATTTTCCTTGAATGTGAAAAGTCTGTTTGTACTTAACTTTGTCCAGACTAAATCAGAATTAAAATATTAGCAATATTAATTCAAAATCTAAATTTTTTCAATTAAATGGTTTTGTTACAAATATGTTGTTGCCACACAATTCTCAGCCCAACTTAAAAAAATACTGTGATTTTGTATCAAAACAAGGATTTGAAAAAGCAGACTGTAATTACAGGTGGTTCCACAGAATATACATCTGCTAGGAAGTCACTATCAACTCCTAACATACACTACAATGTTTACTAGTAGAAGCAGGTTTATTATAGATCACAAGAAAAGTACAAACCATCATTTATTTATTTTTTACTTTAATGCTTAATAAACTGCTTGACAGAAAATGTTTTAAATGAGGCTAAACACTATTTTCAAACTAATTTATGTATTCTGCAGTTGAAAGGCTTAAGATCTCCTGTGAATACGTGTCTCTAGAGCAAAGCAAATCACAGCATTCAGCCTGTGTTCAGCTTCTGCACTGCATGTGAGGATGGAGGTGCATGTTCCTGCCCCCCACAAGCTGAAACAGCACAAGAAAGAAGCTAGAAAGCATACACGGCAGATTTATGCTTCAAGTCACGTTTTTCAAGTACTAATGTGTGACACATTTGTTAAGGAACACGTCATAAATTTCTACACTCCAACTGGCACATCTGTATTAAAAAAACCAAACCCCACCTTTTAAAATGTATTATTTAACAAATTGTTCTTAGCATCTACAAAAAGCAATAACTGACTTGGGCCTTAAAATGTGTCAGTCAGAAAGGTGTTCATCTATCAAACTTCAGCTGTCCATATCTGAGACGGTCACTTTAAACGTGGAGGAGAAAAACAGACGTTTCAGAGAGCGACTCATCTGACCTATTTTAGATTCCTGCTTTAAGCTGAGATAAATCACACACTAGTGTGACTTCGTCTGACTTTCTATGAAGGAAGCCTGAACATGTACCTCCAATGTAGATCACACAAACCCATCTTTCATTTTCAATTCTCTGAAGCCACTCTTTTTTGCATGCTTTAAACATTAAATTGGAGAACAATGTTAATCTCTCAGAGTTTTGGTTTGCCCATCTGTCAAATCAACACGGAATAAACTATTCTTCATCTGTTGCCATTATGGTTGCCTTGCTTTAAAAGCACCCACGTCTCCACGAATGTCTCAAGTTTCTCACACCACCCATGTTTTGTACAAGTGTATGAAGATATCAAATACAAATTAATCAAATAATTATTTCAATAAACTCAAACTATGTATATGATTACCTTTCCCAGAGACTATGAATTAGAAAGTAATCAAAAACTAACTTAGAGCTACAAAAGTCATCAATCAAACAACAGCAAAGAGCAATTATGACCAATACAAAGTGCAATGCATGAAAGCTGTAGCACAGTGTCTTTTTTCCCCCCTGTTAGAGTTGTGAGTTAGAGCAGTGTAAATAAAAAGCAACTATCATACCTGCTGTTTGGAAAGAGGTATTAATCTCTACAGGATCACATAAGAATCTAAAATCTGCCTTTATTTAGCCACCATCGCCATGTCTCTGGAAGCTAATTTCTGCACCCTGTGTAGCTTCTTTCCTAATGAACAGATTTTTATCCTGGCTGTTTGTGAGAATGGAAACACAGCCATTTAAATTAGCCCCATAAACCACAACTTCATGTAGCGTAAGATGAAAACAAGTTTTACTTTTCCTGCCAGTTATAATTTCGCATCTCCGGAAACAGCAAATGAGGTTCTTAACTTCTCTTGGGACACTCCTGCATGAAGCACAGCCTTACAACATTGAGTTACTCTCTAGGACTGGTTTTCTCTCCAATTCCATGAGTCCTTGCTGGCTTTAAGAGTGCTTTGTTAGAAAACTTAGTGTGTATTATAAAATCTTTTAGCATAAGAGATTCCCTGGATACAGTATAACTGTCATTAGTCAGACAGCAGATGGATTTAATTAACCCAAGGTTACCCATTTCCAAATGTCTGTATTTCCCCCTGCATACAACATGTTTAATAACAAATCCTGAGAACAAAATACTGTTCATGCTGTTATCAAGCTGTTATCTTACAGGTCTAAATATAAGCAAAGCAAACACATTGTGAATCCAATTTCTTACAAACTCCTCAAATGACTGTATAGTTAAGATTTATCTCATTCCATCTAGTGCAGGTTGAAAATGCCTAAATTACAAGACAGAAAATAACATACCTCTCTCAGTGCAAACCAATAGGTTGTTTTGCCTTCCTCAGCAAACAGCTGCTTATCCACATGAACTTTGAAAGCTTTTCATTTATTATAAGTGGCACAACAATCCTCCTAGGAAGCTGTAATTTCGCTTATTGGAAGAAATAACAGTAATCTTAAGAAATTTACCAACACAAACATTACTCTACCTTTGTTTGTATGCAGCAAACCTGTCAGAACAGCTAGCAGTGCCTAAACATTTGACAAACATGTAGCTGGCTGAGAATTTCTTATTCTTATTTGATTAGCTTTTTTTCACTATACCTGGTTATGTATCAAAACCATGACTTCTAATGAGAATTTCAGTACAGGAAGAAAGAAATCACTTAAGTTTCTGAAACTCTTTTGTTGCCAGCACAGCCTCCATATCAAATTCCCCTTTCTAGCAAACAGAAAACAAACCAAGGAAAACAAACTAGGAGCACTACCTTATATAAATGAGGTAATACTATGCAAGCCAGATGTGCTCTTGGACAGCAAGGTTTTGGCTTACAACCCAGTATTCAAAGATTCCAAAAGATTAGCTGAGTCCAAACTTAACACAGATGCTGCTAATACTGGACAGTCTGAGGCTAAAGTAAATTTGGCTGCAGATTTTCATTCTGATTTAATTCAAGTCCTTTGATTAAAAGGGGGGTGAGGGGGAGGAAGCCAACTAGCTTATTTTAATCTACTACTAAAAAATTAAGTTAAAAATTTATGTACTTTAGCAGTGCAAAAGTTTAAAATATGTGTTTGAATGCTGCAGATAAACAGTTAAGGGAATATAAATATTAATATATATTTTCCAGGTATCAAAACACAACCTCAAAAAAACTACATGACATTAAAAATAATTTTTATTAGATCAAATCACAGAAAATAAACCTTTTCCTACCCTTACACTATACAAAGACATTACACACCAGGATTACAAAACCTGCACACCACCTATGCAAAAATACCTACATGCATAAACCTTACACCACGCCTAGACCTGCTTACCTTCAGCTACCAACATACTGCAGCTTGGGAGATCACAATTTCCATTAGCAATTACTTGCTATGGACTTAAAGCACACCATTTCCTTTTCTCCATAACAGCACCAAAACCATGTTGTCCTCTCTGTCACCTGGTCCCCTCAAGCAAGTGACAGTCCTAGTCCACTGTGTATAATCCTACATTCAAAAACTTACTTGACACCCTACCTCCCACTCTCAGATTATAGACCTTCTGGGTTGTGTCTACAGAGCAACAAAATTCACAGCTAATTGACAGCCGAGTCCACAGTTTAATTAACCCAGCAGTCATTAATAAACCTTTATTTATATATAAATATAAGCTAGTGAAAATATCTGCTATATTAAGCAAACGGAAATCACATTAGAGCAGAAATTGCAAATTAATTCTGAATAAATTGTGATGTAATGAGAAAACAAAATTGAACCAAGTATAATTAAATGAACTATACATAGCCACTAACTATTTCCTGCAACACACGGATTAGTGATTTACGTTTAAATGTTTCTTTGATCTAATTAATTCTCTTTGTGGAAAGTTCTCCTTTAATTACAGTAATTTTTGAAGATTGTTATAAATCTTTGCAAAAGTCCAAATTTGGAAGTTATGTAACAAAATAATGATTTCATACTTCAAAAATAATGTTCTGCATAATGAGAGACATATTTATCCAATAACGATGAGATGCTGATGAGAAGAGCATATGGAGAACAATATTGCTGCTATGAGCAGTAACAGAAATGCCAATATATGTTTCAAGAAAAGAATACACACCAGAATGTCAACTTCTAAGCTTGAAATATAAACGGTTTTCATCAAACTGCCTGAAGTCTCAGCTCACTTCATTCCAGCTGGGTTCCTTTTTTAGGAAAACGACCATTTTTTGTTGATCCTGTTTAATTTGGGTGAGTTTTGCCCTCATGTGCAGAAGTCCCCAAGTCA